ATTATTATTTATTTATGTATGTCTTCGACTACATAATATTATTCCTAGGTCAACTTGTTTTCATCCTTTTAGGTACTTTTTATGCAGTCGGGTGTTTTATTTTCATAATATACTAGCAGAACTAGCGGCTTCGCTCGCACTAAAACTACAAAAAAATCTCTAAAAAGATTCATACAAACTTTCATCATCTATTTTACCCCCATAAAGGATTAATTTAAAAAAATGCTAAGACACGTATTTATTTAATTTTAATTCTTATCATAAAAATTTAGTTGTATTAAAAAGTGTTTTCATGTGGGAATGAGATGATCTCCCGCGGTAAAAGCCTATGTCACTCTCCAGCCCTTTAACTATCTCCACACAAAAAATCATGCCAATCCGTCTCTCTGTTTCGACGTGAAAGAAGAACAAACAAACAAACAAACAAACAAACAAACACACTTTCACATTTATATATTAGTATGGATAGTAGTCCAATGTAATACCATACACTATGCGACCATCATAAAAATAATAGGAAGTTGCGACCATGTTCTTGGTCGCGGTTGCCTACCACGTGTGGAAACATTACCATACAGTAACATCATTAATGTTTAATTACAATCAGACAAAGGCGTTAGTATATGCAATTTTTAAGATATCGCATGCAAAATTACTTTGTATTTGAGTGATCAATGCTTATAATAATTTTGATGCTTGGTTACCGTAACGCAAGCCTTGAAAATAAATATATATAATTTTGCTATGCAAATTTACGTAAAAAACCGTCTGTCTGTAATTTTTGGGATAAATTAATTTTCACATTTGGCATGCATAGTTAAATTATAATGCACTAGCGACTCACCCTCGATTCGCTCGGGTTCGTCTCTAGGTTGAGTCTCCATCCAAACTTTCATCCATATTTTCACCCCCTTAAGGGATGATTTCCGGAATAAAAAGTATCAAATGATAGTGAAAGAGTCCTTACAAACTTCTCTTCTCTTTCTCGTTTATAATATTAGTAGGAAAACCCACGTGATGCTGTGTGTGTATTCAGCCCCCTTTTTTCTTTTAACGTCCCACTGCTGGGGGTGGGCCTCCCTTCAATATGAGGGGGATCAGGCCATAGTCCACCACGCTGGCCGAGTGCGGGTTGGCGAACTTCACATGTCTTTCGAAAACTTCTAGGTTACTAGGTTCTCTCAGACATGCAGGTTTCCTCACGATGTTTTCCTTCACCGTAAGGCAAGTGGTAATCATGTTAGAAAATGATTCGCACATGAAAATATCAGAGGTGCGAGACCGGGAATTTGAACCCGCATTACTCGGTTTCCCAAGCGAGCGCTTTACCACTGTTTAATTTCAATTTTCATTTTGTTAATTGTGGGTAGGCTGTCTGTAACAACTATACCTTCGAGACATGTAACACCTCAGTCTCTCCCGTGACCATGAATGCTGTAAAGCATTCGAAACGTCGGGAACCAAAAATCCAAATAAATCCGCGAAAAAATCCGATAAGATAGTTTTATTTAAAATGTTCTATTTCGATGTTAGTGTTGCTCCACTAAAACTTTTTATTTAACAAAAACTGGTTACTACACATTATATATTTATTACTTCAATTTATCGTAAATATTTATCTATTTATATGATTATATAAGACGAAAATGAATTATAGACAAAAAAAGCCTTGTGCCACTAAACTTACGCTTAATTATTATTATTTAACTAGAGTTCAATCTCACCTAATCACTCGCTGGGCCAATCTGAAAATGCCACAAAATTACATGAAAATTACTCCAGCCGTTGAATCCATTGAAAACATACATACACACATCGATTTTTATATAGGTATCCATATCCATACTAATATTATAAATGGGAAAGTTTGTGAGAATGGATGTATGTTTGTTACTCTTTCACGCCAGAATGGCTGAATGGATCTCGATGAAATTTAGCACAGAGCTAGATTATAGTCTGAAAAAGCACAAAGGTTTTTGACAACACTTTTTATCCCGGAAAAATGTACGGTTCCCGAGGGATAGTTTAGTTTTTTTCTAGGAACGACCCGAAGCGAAGCGAGGGTAAAAATACATCGAATTATTATCTTTTCGATTTATGAAACATGAAAGAATCACTTGGATTTTAATGAAGGTTATTGAATAAATTATATAAAATTACATGCATGTATAATTTTATATTACTGTTATACCTACATATAGATATGGCCCATAAAAAATTAACTATACTTTTAATACATCTGCCAAGTCGTGCATCACATTTACCATGACTGATCATGAATAGGGGGTGTCACAATTTCCTTCACTCGTTGAATTGTCAAGGTAAGCAATCGCATTTGACATTTGGTTGCCTATTGTAAACGGAATTTGCACTTTGCAAGTTTAGGTGCGTTTTGTACAGTACTACCCATAAATCTATCAAGAAACGAGGTATTATTCTGAAACTAAAATGATAAGTGACTTCTAAAATCGTTTATATGTTATCACTAGGATCTTGTAGTTTTTCATACCAATCTAAATATTTATATTTATAACATCTTATAAGATTGTTTGCTTTATAAAGTACTATAAAAAAGGTAAAAAAATCGATTTCTTCAAATGCTTTATAAATTAATACCTATTCACTTCATTAACGTTCCACTGCTGGTTACGGACCTCCCTGCAATGCGAGAGGGATCAGAGCATAGTTCACCACGCTGGTCTAGTGCGGGGCGGAATTCACATGTATGCTAAGTTTCGCTAAGTTCTCTTAGACATACATGCTTTCTCGCGATGTTTTTTTTTCACCGTAAAAGAAGTGGTAATCATAATGGAAATGATTTGCATGAAAATATCAGAAATGCAAAACTCGGGATTTGAACCTAATTCACTCGATTTCCTTAGTGAGAAATTTACCACTGCGCTACAATAATATATATATATATATATATATATATATATATATATATATATATATATATATATATATATATATATTTATTGAAATATATATATATATATATATATATATATATATATTTCAATCAATTTTTAATACATTAATAATTAATATTTTGATTCAAAATAATTATTTCAAAATCAAATTACTCTAAATTCCATTATTATAACGTTTTTTACGATTTCTCGGTTTAATTTGATTCGAACCACAGATTTTTAGCCGTTTTGTAATAAGAAAACAGCATGATCTGTAAATGATTGGTTTACGTAAGAATAGACTACGCGTATTAAACTATCAACACTTTCATTGTTTCCAGGGGCTCTTGCGAATTGCGATCGCTTTGAGTGGATCAAGTTTCATCAGAGTACGTAACCGGTTTTGTTCTCAACAGTTAATTATGTGGAAAAATATGAAATTAGTTTTTCTTCAATACTTACTTTTCTAACCTAATATTATAAAGAGAAAAAAATATGTTTTGTGTATTTTTGTAACGAATAAACTCAAAAATTACTGAACCGATTTAGATGAAGATAGATAGATTGGTAAGAAGATAGTTTGAAGGACGTAACGAAGGACGTAGGATATTTTTTATTTCGGAAATCATCCCATAAGGGGGTGAAAATGGGGACGAAAGTGTGTATGGGGAATCAACCTAGATACGAGCGAAGCGAGGGTGAGTCGCTAGTAATCTATACATATAATAAAATTGTAACTAAGCCGAATCTGTACATTAAATATTTTTTGGAAAATCTTATTGAAATAGACATTATTATCGATACAGAGGCCGAATCTATAGTTCTTAGAATTTTTGTCTGTCTGTCTGTCTGTCTGTTACTGCGTCACAGGCCCACTGGAAGGATTTTGATGAAATTTGGTATGGTGGCAGCTGGTTATCCGGGTTAACATATATGATACTTTATACCGCGGGAAAATGTCTCATTTCTGAAAAAAAATACCAAAACTGCATTGTAAGAGTATACTAATATGTAAAACCTAAGAATTTGGTTTTTGGTCATCTGAACGCGGGCGGAGCCGCGGACAATGCTAAATGCTGTTAATAAGTATATTTTTGTAATCTAGAAATAAATAATGACTACTATTTTAATAATATGAGATTTCTCTAGTATATAACTAGAATATACCGAAAGATAGAGAAATCACTATTTCGTCAAATTATCGGATATTGCATTCTTTATTATTGAGCAAAGCATATTATTCTGTCGCGGAATACTTCAGTGATGCTTTGTTGGATCACTATTCACTCACGTAGGATAAGAACACAATTATCATATTGATATATTGTAAATTATTATTATATTTAACCCCTTATGGGATGAATTTCGAAAAATGCAACACGTATTTAATTGTATTGGAGAGCATTTATACCAAGTTTCAAGTAATTCTGATCATAAATATTTTTTTGCATTGTATTATAACGTGTTTTCCCGTGGGAAAGAGATAATCTCCCGCGGTAAAAAGTAGCCTACGTCACTCTCCAGCTTTTCAACTATCTATACACAAAAAAACACGCCAATCTGCCAAGCCGTTTCGACATGCAAGAAAGACAAACAAACAAACACACATTTATTATATTAGTATGGATATCGGCTTTCTCGCTGGACTTCACTGAGAAAATTGACGTTAAATAGATTATTTGTGGAGAAAGTTTAATAATATCACTATGAGTCGTTCAAAATTACTTTAAAATAATATAGCATGTCATTATAATTTTACGGTACTATTAGATTATTTAAATTTTAAACGCTATATTCGTAAAGACTGTGTAATATAAAATGTATGTTATATATGAATTGCAATTAAATATAAATGAATTACTTTGCTTATAAATAAAATTATGTTTTCAGATTTTTTCGCGAATTTATTTTCATTTTTGATGCCCGAAGTCTCGAATGGTTTTCAGCAATCATGGTCACGGAAGAGATTAGTCTTTAGGTTTTAGACATCTCTCAGGTCATTATGTAGACGTTAAGAGCAATCTACAATTATCAAATTTACGATACGGATTTACCGTGAAAAAATCCGAAAAGATAGTTTTATTTAAAATGTCAAATATATGCGTAAATCTAATAAACTATAATATATAATTACTTTGTTTATATATTTATTGTAAAGAAATATTAAAATTCGTTTTTAAACAGATGTAGTTCCGAATACTGCTTCCTTTTTAAAATAAGTTAAAAAGTATAATTTTAGCAGTTGAATGAAACGTTTTTTTCCCGGACCAGATTAGTTAGTATGCTATGTATAGTTTTGTTAACTGCCCCGCTGGTGTAGTGGCTAGCATGTACGACTGCACACCCGGAGATCCTGGGCTCGAATCCCGGGTCGGGCCAAGTTTAATTATTGAGTCTTTCAAGTACGAGTAGTAGTAAGCCTCAGTAACAGCCCGGAGTTGGGAAGTAGGCGGTGTTTCACCCCCGTGCCTCGGAGAGCACGTAAAGCCGTCGGTCCTGCGCCTTAACTCTCACTGGTCGTGTCTCGTGTCGTCCCACCGGAGTATGAGAGTGTCGGGAATAGAGAGTGCCCTTGTGTCTGCGCGTACACTTGTGCACTATAATATCTCCTGCGCAGTTGGCTAGTCTCAATAAGATTGGCCGCCGTGGCCGGAATCGGCTAGGAGAACATCATCATGTATAGTTTTGTTGTAATGTTATTTATAACATTTATACGTAACTATACCACAAATTACAAAAACTAAAAAAAACACCTACAAAATGGTTTTATAAGAAATGTCGTTGAAATTTTTAAATTATAAGTATATTAAGATTGATTTCCCTATAAATAAATAAAAATATAAATAGTTGAATTATTATTTCGTAGGTATAGCTTGAGCTGTTCGTGTTACACATTCTTAAATGAAGCAAGGATCAACATTTTATCTTTAGATAGATGTAGGCAAGAGATAATAGAGCCAAGTAAGCTAAAGTTGTAAGTAAACTAAAATCATCCAAAAAAAACATCGGAAACACTAAAATAAAAAAAATGCCATTTCCTGAACAAATACGGAACAAGACATTTAGAATTCTCATAAATAATACAAGACTTGTAATAAATGTGCAAAATACCAGCTATGGATTAAAGTACAAACTTAAGCGAAATAATAATAAATTAAATACAAAAAAAGTTTAAAGAGAAAAGCTCATCATTGAGAACGTTTAAATAGTCAATCGAGCTGTTTTTTTTTTTTTTGAAAAAATCGGTAAAACGGTCCGTAAAAGCTTTTAGAGGGAAGAATTTGATTTTTGTGTAAACTTAAAGATCATAAGAAGAATATTGTTTAGTCAAAACCACAGATCATGTGATACTATACTAGTATCAAAACCGTGTATCTGGTCCGCTAGTTTCTAATAATGTAGCTTTAAAAAAAACCTGTTACTTTACGTTACCTAGACAGATGCTGTCTTTTACTATTAGTACCTACATAATCTATATATTATGTAATGATTTTACCTTATCAACAGTCTTCATCACGTATTTTCTATTTTACCTGATATAATAATTAGCACTTGGGCGACCGAGCTTCGCTCGGAGTTTTTGGGCAGAAGTACAATTTTCTTATTAATTTGGCTTAAAAGCAAAAAATCTAAAAATTTTCATAAACACAATAAAACACACATGATTGTGAATCTAGCGCCTTGGCCGCTTGACCACGATACTTATGCCCGAGCATGCGAAATTAGCGACCATATTTTGCGTGGAATAATGCGAAAGAAAACCGCATTAAAACTCGAAAACACGCGTTTTCCCAGACATAAGACTAATCTAGATCGATTCATCGCCCCCGAAAACCTCCACGTACCAAATAAATAATCCGGTATAAATAAATAAATATGTATACACGAACTGCTCGTTTAAAGGCATTAGATTTTACAAATTGGCATAATTATTTAGAATTATTACACGTGATATTTTTCAAAAAAAAAAACTTAAAATATTAAAAGATTAATTAAAGAAATGTAAAAAATTATAATGGAGATACGTCTTACAAAATTAACTTAAGCCATATTGTGTTTCGATTAAGCACAGATCCGTGTGAAAAATAGCTATTGTAAAAAGTCGAGGCTATTTTCTAGCTAATAACACCAGAACAATAACATTACTAACAATCAACATCATTTATGCTTAAAATTTATGTTTTTTTTATAAAGCCAATTCATTACATTGCTTCCTGAATAACTAATATTTGGATGAACTTTTCAAGATTGCAATATAAAAATTACATATTAATTCGTTGCATATTTTATGCAAAATAATAAGTTACATAAAATACTAAATAATATTTAAGGAGTACTTACATCATTGTACTGATATTGTTGATATAATACTTTATTAGATTTAGGCTAATATTTAAAATTTTAAATAAAATATATTTCTTCGTTTTTTTCATTTTTCAATTAGTGATCAACGATTATTATTTAGCGATTACGATTACAATTACTGCGCTTAATAATCGACGATTACGATTTCGATTACGATTAATTCTGTTTCTTAATAAAACATACCATAAACTAAATTAAAAATTATTTGCTGAAGAATTAATAATCAAAATATAGGAAATTTAAATTTTTGTTCAGAAAACTCGTAAACGTAACTGAAAATAGGAATTATTTTTAATTTGAATCAATCCAACAGTGAAAAACGACCTGTATGATGTAGCATCGATGATTTGATTGATGGATTTTTTTGCTATTTGTTTTAATATTCCAAAAATAATAAATATTATATTACTTCTTTCTAATAATAAACACACACGCATGCGCAAAAGACTTACATTATGCGCATTTAAAAAGTATGTTAGTTTATTTGAAAATATTAGTATAATAAATAATATAATAAATAATAATCTATAAATAATAATATAATAAACGCTAAATAATCGCGATGATAATCGACGATTACAATTAATCGTGAAATATCGATAATCGTCGATTACAATTAATCGTAATCGTTCAGCACTAATTTTAATTAGATTTATTGTTACCGACATTTCGAAAGCTGTATAGCGAAAATAATCGCGGGAAGGCTTTTGATGTCTTAATACTTATAGTTATTAGTATTACTTGTTCAATGAACCGAGATGAAAGCATTTATTTATCATTACATATATTAATATACCTTTCGCAAAAATCAATCCACTGCCCTCGTTATGCATAAAGACAAATTAAAAACATACATAAATTTTATGAAATATATTTAAAAAAAATTATTTTTTTTTATAATATATAACATTATATTAATACTGTTGATAATATGTTACTGATGTATTAATTAATTATTTTTTTGTTCCAGGAACACGTTAGTCAATTGCTCAATCACCTGTCAGAGTCAGAAAAGGTGTTCCTATTTGGTGCCAATCACAATAGTGAGTTTTTATTTTAAATTATATTATATTATATATTAGGTATATTATGTTAATTTATTATTTTAAGTTGAAATTCTACGTGGCTTACATTGTTATTTTTAACTCTAAAATTAAAGTTGAATTATTTTTGACACGCTTATTAATAGTTAAGACTCTATCTGCAGGAAGTAAGTCAACTTCAAGAAAATTATTTAAATATTTGTGCAAAACATAAACAAATCTATTCCACGGGAACCGTAGATTTTTCCGGGATAAAACATAACCTATATGTTACTCTGACGTATGAGCTACATACATTATTGTAAAGTTTCATTAAAATTCATTCAGTAGTAACAAATATCCATACATCCATACCTCCTCATAAACTTTCGCATCTATACTAATATTATAAAGTAGCTATGTGAAAGTTTGTGTGTATGAATGTATGGATGTTTGTTACTCTTCCACGCAAAAAGTACTGAATGGACTTTAATGAAACTTTACAATAATATAGTTTATTCTTCAGAATAACACATAGGCTACATTTTGTCCCGAAAAAATCTACGATTCCCGTGGGATAGATTTGTCTTTGTTTTTCTAGAGGCGAACCCGAGCGAAGCGAGGTTGAGCCGCTAGTTTATAATATTATTACAATGTTTTTATAGCGTTATATTTATATTTTTTTAAACTTAGTACCTACACGTATAATAATATATATTATTATACGTGTATATTTTTTTTATTATAGTGTAGGTACTATATTTAAAAAGAATAGAAATCTCTCTATATATTTCATATCCCATTTATCTTATACCACATAAAAAAACTACGTGAGTGAAACTGGGGGCAAATTGTCTTATATAAAAAATAATTTCTAGAGTAAATACGAGAGTATAAAAATAAAACGACTTATTTTCAGATGCACAGTTCGAGATAGCGCACTTAAAACGGTCAAAACGCCACAAAAGATCTCTACAAGATACTCAGGACTTAGTGACGTTAAAAAATCATTTAAATGTTAATTTAACTCCGAGAAACAGTTTCTTAGATCCACAATTTCTATTATTGAAAAGATGGTCGAATGGGACAGAAGTTATGTTTGACAAACATAATGATGAAGAACTAGATATGTGCTATTATAGAAGTGCTAGCGCCGCTTTATATGCGTGTGATGACGTGGTATGAAATCATTTTTCTTTTAATAATACTTTCTTAGTAAGTAATACTTTTTAGCAATACTTTCTTATATTTACGCGAATATTTGACATTTAAAATGCGAAAAAATCCAAAAAAAGATTATTTAAAATGTAATTTTTCTTGTTTTTTTCTTTTAAGTAGACTAGTTAAGCAATTATTTAGAGTACACATTCTCTTGTGTAATCTAATTGACCTAGAGTAAATGCTTTCCTGGATCACTTTATCTCAAATCTAGTAAAATGTTTATAAAATGTATTATAATTACTACTCTTATTTTATTTTCAGAGAGGAATGATTAAATCTAACGATAGCTACTATTTCGTTCATCCACTACCAGAACGATTTCATAGCGAACATGTGAAACCACATGTCATTGTAAAAAGATCTAATATCAATAATAATAATGAAGAAGATATGTGTATAGAAAGAGAAAAAGATTTCACCTCAAATCCTCAACCAAGTAAAACTTGGTGGAAGCATAGGAGAAAACGAGATGTAGCACCAAATATTGTTGAAGACAGCTTAGACGAATTCAAATTAAATCTAGCCCATAGAAATAAAACTATAGGCGATTTTGTCGGGAAACTAAACGTTGAGGAACGCCAAAAACGAGCTGTACTACCTGCAATATTCGTAGAAACCGCTGTTTTTGTGGATCGTGATTTATACAAACATATGACGATAAATTTTCCAAAAGAAACAGAGAGAGAGTTAGTAAGATTTGTCTTAGCTATGATCAATGCTGTGCAATTAATTTACCATGACTCGAGTTTGGGTAGACCAGTCAATTTCATATTAAAAAGACTGGAAATTCTTCATGAAGATCCGGCTAATTTAAAAAGACCCCATGATATTGATAGGTTTTTAAGCAATTTCTGTACATGGCAAAGGCTAGAGAACCCGCCGGGAGACAATGACCCGTTGCACTGGGATCATGCTTTAATTCTAACTGGGCTAGATTTGTACGTGGTTAATAAAAATGGAAAAGTTAGCAGTCAAGTTGTTGGTAAGTTAGGACTTCGTCTATTATTAGTTATTAAAAAGGAAAGCGTATTTGACAATTATTTATATAAACCTAAGACATACATATATAGTGTGAATTGATATGGCGGTACCACAGCTATTCAATATTCTAACATCTCTATCAATTCATCGTCAAGCAGATAGACAAACGAAATGCTTCAATTTTTTACCAATTCCAACAATGATTTTTTCTTGTATTAAAGATGAGTATAAATTTACCATATTGCAATTTTATTATGTTTATACATAGATAATATTGATGTATTTTTTTCTATAGGCCTAGCCCCCGTCGCCGGCATGTGTACAGTAACAAGCAGCTGCACTGTCAATGAAGGCAGACATTTTGAAAGCGTTTATGTTGTAGCACACGAAATTGGCCACAAGTAAGTATTATGTTTGAAATAAATATTATATGACGATTCAAAAGTGCTTATAAAAAAAAATTTGAATAATTTTAATGTGATTTGAATATAATTGTTCACTTGAACACCCAATTCAATTTTCTTGTTACTGGCTTCAAAGCGTGCCAGTTGAGCACAGATCACTTCGCCAATGTAAAATAAGATCATTAAAATTATATAGAATTACCTATAATGTGTTAAAAGGGAGTAAATCCTTAATAAATCTTGGATCTACCATTTGAAAACCCAAAGTCTAGGCATGCGCCATGACGGCCCGCTCGCAGACAACGGGTGCGACCCGAGCGCGTACATCATGAGCCCAACGCTGGGCAGCGGCAAGATAACGTGGTCGCAGTGCAGTAGGAACTATTTACAGAAGTTCTTGGAGTGAGTTGGTTTTATTTTTTGTGGAACTTAAGTTCATCTCAATCTCAATCAAATAAGTATTAGATACACAAACAGCGACAAAAAATGTCCTCACCGAATGAGCGCTCATTTGAACATTTGAGCGCGCTTTTAATTTTTTTTTTTGAGTAAACAACTTTAAGCATTACATTTAAAGTTTAATTTACATTGTTGTATATTTATTATAACTGGAATAATTACCTAAACATAATATAATGATAGTTTAAAAGAACTTTTGAATGGGATTGTGTATCTAGTAATTTTTTGATCGATGGTTTTATCAAATATAATTGGTTAGATACTTATGGTTAAGGATCTGTGTACAGTATGTTTTTTATTACTTGAAAATTGACGTATTAATAATTCTGTGGTAATAAACTTTACGAAAAGCAGATTGCTTGACTTCATATCGATACTGAAACAGAACGTTGTGTGCATTGACCTTAAGTTGTTGTAGATAAGAATCTTCGTGGGAATTAAATCGAGTAAACAGTAGCTTAGAATTAGATTTTTTTATAACACAACATAAAATAGAGAATCTCTCAATGTACTAAAAGCTGTATTTAAGAATTCCTTAACTCAAAAATCCTTTAACATACTGGGTAACGATCAATATCGAATCATTTTGCATATCTTTATACTGATTATATGTAGGTACCAGAAAAAACTAGAAATTGGAAACTATAAAATCAAGCATCTGTAGGTCCTAAGGCACCACATTTACATTACAGTTTCGAGAAAAGCATTAAAATTGTCAAAACGTCAACGTTGAAAATAAAAAAGTAAAAGTTATTTTCTTTATTACATATTACCAATTCACCCTCGCTTCGCCCGGGTTCGTCTCTAGGTACGTTTTAGCAGTGAGTATGAAATACAAATCTTGAATCACTCTATCTATTATAAAAAACCGTATCAAAATCCGTTGCGTAGTTTTAAAGATCTAAGCATACAAAGGGACAGACAGACAGCCACATGGAAGCGACTTTGTTTTATACTATGTAGTGAAGATTTTTATTTATAGTTTATTATAATATTATAATTCACTTTAGCACAGTACAGTCAAGATGTCTACTTGACCACGGCAACTCGGCGGGTCAGCTCGACCACAGCGCTGAGGGCATATTGCCCGGGGAACGATTCGATGCAGACCAACAATGTAATATATCTTCTTAATAATGCACTTCTTAATTAATATTATAAGCGTGTATGTGTATTTTTAGAGTTCTGTAGCCAAAAAGCTAAAACGAAACCCTTATAATTTCGTCATGTCCGTCTGTCCGTATGTTACAGTTATTTTACTCGGAAACGACTGAGTTATGGTAAGAGTATATACATTGCTGAAACCAGATCGATAGGTGTCTCATGTAAACTTCTAGCCAATTTTCTCGTTCAAATTACATTAAATAAGCAAATGGTTGGTGTTATGGTGAAAAAAATACAAGTGCACTTGTGCGATTTTTTTTCATTTTGTTTATACTTGTTACATTAAAATTGTAATGCTGAACTTAAAATTTTACCCTATCACCATCAAAATTACATTTTAGTATTACTCTAAAAAACTAATCTAAAATATAATCGTTTAATTTTATTAATTTTAAAAATTTAAGGGTGCAATAATTGTTTTTAAGCAATTTCATAGTCGATCTAACTTTTTCTTTACAATAATAAGTACATACTAATATTTCTAAGGTATGCTCAAGTACGGTCGAGGAAGCAGACAGTCCGGCGCACAAAACCTAGAAGACATTTGTCGAGACTTGCACTGCCAAAGAGAAAGATACACTTGGACTTCTCACCCGGCTTTGGAAGGGACTAAATGTGGAGATGATATGGTAAGAAAAAAATGAAATTTGTGTATAGGTAGGTGTTAGTATTCAGCCCTTTTTAGGGATCAGGCTATAGTCCACCACGCTGGCCAAGTGCGGGCGGACTTCAGATGTTTTTCCGAAACTTGTTAGCTTCTCTCAGATACGCAGATTTCCTCACAGTGTTTTTCTTCACCGTAAGGCAAATGGTATTCATATTGAAAGAGGTCGAGTTTTAATATTAATATTAAGAGGTGGCTCATCGTGATTTTTGATTTTTCATATAAATAACATGGGACATTTTTATTTCCCCAATTGAATTATTGTCCAGTCAAATTAAAAACATGTGTATACTTGTAGGGAATTAAACGATCTACAAAAAAGATCTAATACCGTTTTTTGGTTGAGTTGACGTAGTCGTTTATTAGTTATTCGAGGTTAAAGTTCATCCTCAAATGGTAAATGATGACTCTTACAATTTTTCATACTCTATCACAAAATAATGTCTCAAAAACATAAAATATCATATTTTTCGTATAAAAATGTTTACTAAAATTAACAAATATTGTAAGGTACTTTGGTGCCATTTTTGAATTTTTGAAATCGTTTTTGTAAAATAGTGAGTAGACACTGTCTGTAATAAGTACATACAACGTATATAACGCGTTTGAGACGTCTATGACCTTAGTCTTTCCCGTGACCATGATTGCTGTAAAGCATCTATCTAAATAAATCTGCGAAATAATCCCAAAAATAGTTTCTATTTAAAATGTCAAATATTCGCGTTTTAAGAAAGTATTATAAAAAAATAAAAGTTTTTGGTCCACCCTAGTGTATAATGTATGTAACTCTCAGTATCAACAGCATTCTCAACAGAACTGCATTCCGAGCCGGTGGTAGATTCCTCACGGACTGTCTACACTGACATTTAATTTTAATTTAAAATGTAAAATTGACGATTCAAAAGAGCTTGTAAAAGTCTATTTGAATAAAGTATATTTTGATTTGATTTGCAACAGTACTGCCGCGGAGGGTCGTGCGTGGAGCGCGAGCAGGCGCGCGCGCGCGGCTGGGGCCGCTGGGCGCGCTGGTCGCCGTGCGCGTCCGCCTGCCTGCTGGACGCGGGCGGTGCCCCCGCCGCCGCCGGCGTCGCCACCGCCAGCAGGCGCTGCGGGAAGCCCCGGTGAGTGCTGTCTCTCACCCCCGTCTACTCTATCCCCTCTCTTTTTGTATCCCCCTTTTTCCTCTGTATCCCCCTCCTTTTTTATCCCCCTTTTTCTTTATATCCCCCTTATAATCTATATACCCTTTCCTCTCTGTATTCCCCTCCCTCTCTGTACCACCCTCCCCTCTATCCTTCTCTCTCTCTCTCTCTCATTGTATCCCTTTCTCTCACTTTAAGTATATTAATTACTTTATTATCAATTCAATCGATATTTATATTTATTTCTTTCAGACATGAAAACGGTAAAAGCTACTGTCATGGACACGACAAAAAATATCAATCCTGTCAAGCGCCTCAGGTACGGCATGATTTTTTTATTTCAACAACACATTTTAGAAACAATACTCCATAACAAAATCTTTGGAATACATTTATACTATAATTTCTGTTTAAAAAAAAAAACAAAAATTAATACTTCTGTTAACTAATTGAAAATAAGTAGGTAATTTATCTTCGTATCATTTCTCTTCGTGTTATACTTGGATAAATTACAATTTTGACAATATTAAATGAAGGATAAAAATTTAAATAGAAATTAGATATATATTAAGTAGATATGAAAATTATTATTTAAGTAAAATTCATCGAGTTTGTAAAACAGAAATAGCAGCACCAAATAACATTTTCCAGTGCCAAAACGTACCGGGAATGACGATCCGTGACTTTGCCGACGAGATCTGTCTGCGCGCGCGCGACGTAGACCCCGACCTCATCGGCACCGGCTTGCAGAGGATGGATGCTGATGGTAACATGATTTTGTCCTTTTGAAGTAAAACTCACTTCTTTCTTACTTTCTTTACGCACGCGTGACTTGGGGGAGGAAGAAGGGGAGAGGCTGGTGAATGCGTTACGAAAAAATGTACGTACGTTTGTTGCCGTGGTGACCGTTGTTATTGTCTGACAAATTATATATTTTATTCTTTCCTTAAATGATATTCTATAAATACTCGTTATTTTTAATATCTCACCTATCCTAATTATTTAAAACATACATTAAATTTCATAAAGAGTACCGAAAACCTAGAGAAGTTTTACTTCATGTGCGTGTACACATTCATACTTGCACTCTTTATTTATTTTTTACTAATAACTAACGTCACCTACTCGTTATAAATGTACTAGTGATTTACCTTTGCTCTGAAGAGTTAATTTACAGAAGCCCACTGTCACTGCATTTATCTATATAGTCTATCTATGTATGTATAATGTATTAATTTTCTACTAAATCCCGCTATTACAGCGTGTAGAAGTAACAAACATACACACACAAACTTTACATTTATATAATAATAAGATGCTTAAGAGAAACCTATGTTTTACTCTAGGTATGTTTATATACTACGTACGTACTTTTCACTCAAATTTATTTATATTTATTAGTTATTTTAACGTGAGAAAATAAGGAATATACACACAGACACACAGATTCACAATTATAATATTCGCTGTATTCCTTCCAATAGATGATGTTACATTAAATTGCTTCAACCGAGTAACCAATAGAGAGCTCAATAAAGCAACTTCTATTAGACAAAAAAGATAAAGTAATAATATTAGTCCCGCTGAGTTTCTTTCAGTTCTTCTCAAATCTGAGGCTTCTTTCCGAACTGGTAGTAAACTTATTATGTTTAGTGAAAAATTGTAATAATTCAATCTATACTTACTAATATTATAAAGAGGAATGTTTGTACCTAATAGGATCCGAAACTATTGAACCGATTTAGATAAAATTTGGTAATTTGAGACCCTGGTAAGAACATAGGGTAGTTTTTATTTCGGAAATTATCCCTTAAGGGGTTAAAAGTCTGTATGGGAAATTCTGAATAAAATATTTTAAATTAGAATTTGTATTAAACTAACGTGTTACTGCCGACAGACGCGAGCAGCAAGTGCGCGGTGTGGTGCGACACGCGCGGCGGCGGGTACAAGTCGCGCGGCTGGAGCTTCCCCGACGGCACCGCCTGCGCGCGCCGCGCGCCCGCCTTCTGCGTCGCCGGCGTCTGCCGGGTGAGCCACGCCATGCTTTACCATACCACAAGATACTTTACCGTCCCACATCGTGTTTTACCATCCCACATCGTGCTTTACCATCATACATCATACTTTACCAATCGATATCATACTTTTCTATCCCACGTCATACTTTACCTTCCCATGTCATACTTTATCATCCCACATGATTCCTTACCATCCCACATCATACTTTACCACCCCACATTATACTTTACTCCCACATCGTTAATCAATCAATTCTTCCCTCAGAGAATGAGGATCTGATCACGGCAACCATAGGGTGAACTTTACTTCCTTGTCTTACCACCATAAGTTACACTCTACCCAAATGCGTATGCCGTAATTACTTTGTTTCTTTTCCAAAAAGTTTCTTTGCAATGTTTTTTTTATTACCCTACTTAGCAAGTGGTCATAGTTGAAAATAATTTGTTTATAAAAATTACAATTTAAAAAAAACATCCTATTGGGTGGAATTTAGAATACCTAAACCTTGTTAGCGCTTTTTGGATTTTTTGTTGAAATGAAGAAATGGCTACAGTACTATTATTATTTTTTTCAGAAATTCACTTGCACAGATAACCCAGATGAAGAGTTCACGCTCTCTCCAGAAGACTGCGAGTGGGAAGCGTTACAAGTCAAAACTGCCGCCTCACACACAACCACGTAAATATATCTATACCTATTTGTTTCGATTTTTGGTTCCCGACGTTTCCAATAGATACTTTTATTTAAAACTAGCACTGCCCACGGCTCCGCCCGCGTTCAGATGACCAAAAAAGAAATTCTAAGGTTTTACAAATTATTAGTATAGTCTTACATTGCAGTTTTTTTTATTTTTCTTAAAAATGAGATATTTTCTTGCTGTAAAAAGTATTCTATATGTTGACCCGGATCACCACACTAAATTTCATCAAAATCCCTCCAGTGGTTTTTTTGTGATGCGGTAACAGACAGACAGGCAAAAATTCTAAAAACTATAGATTCAGCCTCTGTATCGATAATAATGTTTATTTCAATAAGATTTTCCAAAAAAATATTTAATGTACAGATTCGGCTTAGTTACAATTTCATTATATCTGTATAGATTTTAATATACCTAACATGCGTTATTTTTAGTATCTCACCTATTCTAATTATTTAAAATATAGGTAAATTGAATTTAATAAAGAGTACCGATAACCTACAGAAATTTTACTTGGCACTGTTTAATTTATTATTATTATTATTCGCGTGTCAGCGTGAAGGCGGGCAGCAAGCGGCGCGAGGTGGCGGAGGCGACGGCGTGGCGCGCGCTCAGCGGCTGCCACTACCGCTGCGTGGCGCGCGCCGCCGGCCTGCGCCTCGTGGCCGCCGCCGCCGCCGCCCCCGCGCGCCGCTCCGTGCAGATATGCACGCCGGACGACTCGGTAACATACACGCGCACACACACAGATACATATTACATACATACACACAAATGCGCGTACACACGCACATACATAATATATACACCTATGTCTGAGATACAGGCACAACACTGACGCAGGTGCGTTTGCAAATACACATATAAAAACCGTTCTTTTTTATGTAATAAAATCGTATTTTTTACATATATCATTAAGTCTCGCAACAATACGAAATGGACACAGACATTGGTTATATTATCTGTAGAAATGGATCAGGCCATAGTCCAAGTCGCTGCTCGAGAGTAGATTAATTTAAACGTCTTTCATACGTTTCTATATTCAATTCTTTTATATTTTAAACAAAAGCTGTACCGCTGTATAAATTAAACACACTAAATCATAAGAAATTCTCTACTTTACTTACAATATGTATATCCCTATGTATAATATTGTATCCCATCCTTTTTAACGTCCCACTGCTGAGCACGGGCCTCCCTTCAATACGAAAGGGATCAGACCATAGTCCACCACACTGGCCAAGTGCGGGCAACTGAGCATGTTTTTTGAAAACTTGCTAAGTTCTCTTAGACATGCAGGTTTCCTCACGATGTTTCCACTACTCCAAGTGGTAATTACATTTGAAAAATGATTCGCACATGAAAATATCAAAGTTGCAAGACCCGGGATTTGAACCCGCTTCCTATATATGTACGTATATACAATATAAACAAATAAACATATATCACTACAGGCGTGTCAACAAGTGGTATCCCCCTACCAGTACGCGACGATGGTCTGCTCTAAGTACAAGGAGAGAGTGCGGCGCCTCTCCGGCCTCGGCATGCAGATATCGCCGGCTTTGGGTGAGTGAACTTATAATATTAAATGAACAATTCTTGTATAGGTATACAGGGTCATTTTTAATTTACTGAAGACCCTTAGGAATATACTATTTACATCATAACAACAACATCTGTAAAAAAATATAATATTTCTTAAATTTTTATTTTCACACAAAAATAAAAATATTTTTATTGCACCTTCTAAACACCAATAATCCTAGCATTAGCGAAAGTGCGTGACCGGTGGAATGGGAGAGGTGTAGGGGCAATGCTTACTCATTTAAATTTGACCAGGACTAATACCGTTTAGGTGCAATAATAATATTTTTATTTTTGTATGGAAATAAAAGAAATATATTTTTTTTCTTATTGTTATTATGATGTAAATAGTATATTCCAAAAAGGTCTTCAGTAAATTAAAATATCGTAGGGAAATTATAAAACCGTAAGTAGAACTTCATCATTCTGCAAACATCACGTAACAGTCATATTTTGTTTTTAAAAAAAACTTTTTTTATACAGATTTCATTTTTATTGTGCCAGCGATCGCGGGTTCTAGTCCCGATTGGGACATTCACTTGTGTGATAAGCACGAATGTTTGTACTCCAGTCATAGGTGTTTATATTTATAATACTTATGTATTTAATAATATATGTGATGTATCAATTATCTGATATCTATAACACAAGCCTCGTAGCTTACCATAGAACTAGACGATGTTGTGTGTTAATGTCCCAACATACCTAGGTATTTATTTATTTATTAATATTCAGTACGCAGTTTATTGAATAATAGTTATTATCAAACAGTTTTATTATCTAATAAGCAGTTACATATTATATTATTCATATTAATTAATTACTAACATAATATACGGACAGCCATATTTGCTACATAGCATACGTGATTTGTAATACGCTCCCTCAAGAAAACTAAACATTTAGGTACATACATATATCATTGTAATGTAATTAAAGACGATGATTTTAGGAAGTCGGTCACTGACTCGCGAACTTACTCTGACTCAAAAAGCCCAATTATACATTTTATCTACATACGTATATAAATCTTAGAAGTAAAGCTTTGTTTTTAAAATAGAGAAAAAAAACTTTTTAAATTATCGTGCTTCGTAATTATATAATAATTACACTACGGGACATAACGCCTGAATTCGTAAGTGGATATTATTATTATTATTTTTTTCGTTTGAAAATCTCGGCTTTGCCGGTATTCTCAGCTAACACGGGCCATAGCCAAGTGTTAGTGGGATAGTTTTTGTTGTATGGTAATTAAGTATCTAAAGTAATACTGTGTCGTTGAGATATGTGTTGTGCAAGACGTGGCGCTTGGACATGATTTTGTATAATGTCAAACGATGTGGGGATACTACTGCCTATATCATTATCCGTTTGTAGAAATTTACGAACAATTCTACATGTGTTTAATATAACGGCTTTTTGTAGATTAAAATATGTATAACGATTGGAACTATGGTAACGGTTTCAAGATGCCACATTCTTCTTATTTCGTCTTTTAACTCCATGTATTTGGTTAACTTTTCAGCTATCGCGTTCTGTAGATGGTACAGGTTTGTTCATTGTAATCTTAAGCATTTGGGCTATTTGCTGATGGATGATATTAGCAACCTGGTCATGTCTGTGCTTATAATCAGTCTGTACTATTGTTCGGCATGCACCAGTAATATGTTGTATTGTTTCAGGAGAGCTGTTCTCTATTGTTTGATCTTGTATGGATATCATAAATCCCTCGGTTTCCGGGAAAAGCTCGCCACGCCTCAACCATTATTATTATTATATTTTATTGGGTGTGGTGCCGAGGTCGGCCCTATAGCTACGTCGACCAGTTATGGTCCATTGTAGCTCCCTTTAGAGTGAATTTAAAAGTTCTCTGCTTAGTCCTGTTGACTCCAGGAACTTCCAGATTTTCTGAGCGGGGAGCATCTGAATCTCTTCCGGTTGCATAATATGCTGCCCTAGATAGATACTTCTGCCCGTGACCACGGCTGGTGCAACCCAGTCGAAACGTCGGGAACAAGGTATATACCCTATATATAGCCAGTTACGAATTCGCGCGTTTGACCCTTCAGTGTAATTATTATTGAGCAAAAAAACTTTCAAGTGTAAAGTCAACAAGTATTTTGAAAAAATAAGTTACTGACGTACTGACTGACTAACTCTCAGAGGACCCGGACCGCGCATGCCGCGTGGCGTGCCAGGACGAGCGCGCGGCGCACCGCTTCTACCTGGTGAACGGGCGCGACGGCTGGTTCCCGCTCGGCACCGCCTGCGCCAGGGACAACTCCTCCTACTGCGTCAGTGGCAAGTGCTTGGTGAGTCAGACGATACAAAAAACCCAAAAAGATATAGATCCGCCCCTGCATGCTTTGAAGCCATTAATAATTGAATTCAATACCGGGCCCCCTTTTGAGAACAATGAATAATGTTGTAAATTTGTAAAATAAACAAATATCTAAAATAATAAAAATTAAAGACCCTAAGAACCATACAATATCGTTGTCTTAATTTCACCTAGTACTATCTATCATTATAGATTTTATAAAGATAAAATGACAGTGAAGGCCTTCAAGAAGTGTTAGCCCAGGGCCCCCCAAATTTACAATCCGCCCCTGAAAGCATGCCAGTTGAGCTGATTACTTCGCCAATGTACCTATATAGAATGGAGAAAACACGAAGATTGGTCGGTAAAATAACCTGCACGTCTGAGAGAATCTAGCTTTCCAAAAGATATACTTAGTCCGTATGATTTTTCTCAGATCATGCTATATTTCTAACTTAATATTTCAAAGGATGTTATGATCAGTTTTGTTTAATTAATAACTAGGTACTATTATTTTACACACCGTTTCTCTTTATTATTGCTTCTTCAGGCGATCATAATGAGTGTTATTTACTTTTTCGTTGATATTGTCTTGCCCTATAAATTTACACATTATTTATTTATATACTACACTTTGAAACACATTAATAGTCATAATATAATATTTCCATAATCTTTTTTCGTACGTTTTATATTTAAAAATGTGGATTGTAAAATCATCACCATCATCAATAAACATCCTCTGAAATAGCTTATGCTCCGTCCGCTAACTCGGCTAGCGTAGTCTATAACCTGATTCCTGATTTCGGGAAGCCCACCCCCAGGAGTGGGACGTTAAAAAGGGCTGGGCTTTCAAAACACAACTTGACTTCCAGCAATTCGGTGCAGACAACACGCCGCTCACGCAGATGGTGTTCACGCTGCCGCTGCTGCCGCGCCGCCCGCGCCGCCGCCGCAGCGTGCTGCGCCCGCGCCTCACCGTCACCGCCGTGCTCGACCACCTACATCTAGAGGAGCTCGTGGCGAGGCTCAATCTTACAGGTAACGGGATATTTAGACTTTACATCCCAAATAAAACTATTTGGTACCAAAAATAAATATAAATCTGCAAAAAAATCCGTAAAGATAGATTTACAGCTTACTAATACTGATAACGTTTCGGTACTCGGTACTAGATGGCGTACCCGTTATTCAGTATCGAATACATACGGTTTGCTACAGCTCTAGTTGTTAGTTGATTAAATTCGGATTACAATATTGTATGGGTGTATTATTTGAAGACCTACAGTATAAATGATAAAAATGTACACTACTAACTATTCTCATTACAGATACAAAAATCACATATTTTCAATCAATACCAGAGAACATAGAAGTGGACTTCACCAACCCCATACACATCTCACCAGAGGACACGTTCTTACGGAAAGTGCCGCGACCGACGTGGGATTGACCATATAAAATTATTTCTAGAAATTATATTTGCTGTTCTAGAATATTTTAAATATTTTCTGTATAGAAATTATTTCTTCCATCTTGTAAATTACTTAGAAGAAAATATTTGAGTGCGTGTATCTTTTATGCGCAGTTGAAGTAAAACGTCTTTAGCGCTGTGGCAAATAAACCGTAATTAATGAACGCAATTAAATTAAAACAAATAAAAATACAAACATAGAATTTTTTAAATTAATTTATTAGTAATAAATATTCATTTTTATAAGTTACGTTTTAAAGTTTAGTACAGATTTCTCAGAGATGAGATATTTACTCGCAGTAAAAAGTATCCTATATGTTGACCCAGATAACCAGCTATCATCATACCATATTTCATCTGTCCAGTGGTTGTCTCGTGATGCGTTCCCAGAGAGACAAAAATTTAGCCTCTGTATCGATAATAATGACAATTTCAATAAGATTTTCCAAAAAATATTTAATGTACAGATTCGACTCAGTTAAATTTTTTGAAGAATAATTAATAATACATCTATGTATTTTACCCCTCAGTCACGCCTAAAGAAATTTTACTTCAAAAATCTGCCCCTGAAAGTAGAATAATATAATTAATTATTGCACTTTAAGAGGCAGACTTTTTCTTCAAATTTACTAAAAACTGGTTTTACCATACAAATTCATCCCACTGGAAATGAACCCATGGAATTTACAGATTAATTAGTTTTTTTTTATCTCAGAATAAAAATGTATGAATTCTCTCGTACCCTCTATCTGCCAATAAGAACATTATAAAAATCGAAACAATTTTTAGATTAAGGGGTAAAAAAACACATTGTTTCTAAAAAGATAACATTTTTTAAATTGTTAGTTATTGGGCTTCAGCATAAAAATGTTACGGCATATGCACAAGACTTTATAGACGCACGTTGGTACGCGTTTACAAACAGAGCAAATAAGTATCTATACAGATAAATAAAATTGTCGTGTCTGTTTGTAATGTTTAAATAACAGCTTATTAACTAATACATATGAAATTATAAACGGTACTAATAGGAACAGAACAATTTTTAAAATTTTTGTCTGTCTGTCTGTTGGTTCCGGCTAATCTCCGAAACGGCTGGACTGATTTTGACGGGACTTACAATGGCAGATAGCTGATGTTATAAGAAGTAATTTAGGTTACTTTCATTTTTTTAAAGTTAAAACGCACTAGGGATGCACCCGAGCGAAGCGAGAGTAATTCGCTAGTAATTAATAAAAATAATATTTTATAAGCTTACAGCGCATTAAAAAAGACGCCTTACATTCAAAAACGCGCGTTTATTAAACGTGGTGTGCATACAGCCTTTATCAAATTATAGGGTAACTTTGTGACATTCAGACACCTTCGTTTCATTTTTTATATGTATATATTAGTGCCTAATCTTTAATGGTGCTTGAGATGAGAAGAGGTTGTGAATATGTACATAATATATAGTATAAGTATTGTCAATAAAAGTACTACAATTATTGTGATTTTTTAGTATTTATATTAGTTATTTAAGTTAAAGTACCAAAAAATTCCAAATTTAACTACTCATTGTTTTTTTTTTATATATTTTGGAGCAATTAGTCTTTTTATATACCTACCTACAATATATTAGTGTTAAGTAAATTAAATATACATATTTTTAAATAAATAATTATAAAGCTTAGTTTGTGTTTATTTAATAAAGATATTACCATTCTTTTCCCAATCATTATATCCATACTTATAATCAATAATCATTATAAATGTTTGCTTGTTTGTCCTCCTTTAACATCGAAACGGAGTAACGGATTGGCGTAATTTTTATTATCAGAATTACTTGAAACTTGGTATATATACTCTTCAATAAAATTAAATAAATACGTGTATTAGCATTTTTCAAAATTCATTCTATAAGGGCGTAAAATACGGGATGAAAGTTTGTATGAAACTACCTTTTTAGAGATTTTTTCGTAGTTTTAGCGCAAGCGAAGCCGCGGGTTCTGCTAGTAATATATATGTTACATAAGTAACTTTGTTGATATCAAAGTTTTAAATAAAACTATCTTTTCGAATTCTTTGACGGATTTGATTGAGACTGACCAGAGGTCTCTCCCGAGACCATGATTGCTGTAAAGCATTCAAAACGTCGGGAACCAAAAATCAAAATTAGTCCGCGAAAAAACGTCCTAAACGATAACGAAAAAATCCTAAACGATAATCTATCTTTTTATTGAAAACTAGCGACTCAACCTCGCTTCGCTCGGGTTCGTCCCTTGCTTGCTTCCCCATACAAAATTTCATCCCCATTCTCACCCCCTTAAGGGATGATTTCCAGGATAAAAACTATTTCACTCGCACACCTTTGTGGCTGGAAATAAAATACATATTAATAGTAAAATAAAACTAATATGAAAAAACAACTATAATTATTACATTCAATGATTTATACTCTTCATACAATGCAGCAGCCGCGCCTGGTCCGTCAGGAACCACTGCCAGAGCTTGCGAACATTATGTTTATCTCCATTCTGGAATTATAACAATTATTATGAGGGTTAGCTTTTAGCTTCTTTTAATATTTGTTATGTATTCTGTATATACCTAAATACTATATTACTAATAATAAAAATTCATTATCATCGGAGGGATCAGGCCATAGTCCACCTCGCTGGTCAGGTGCAGGTTGATAGCATTTATAGATAGTTATACTTCACATGACTTTTGAAAACTTGAGAAAAGTAAATATCTATAAGACAAATAAACTCAACAATCACTTTTTTTTTCTTTTTGACGGTGGAAAATGCATTTACGCTTACTACCTACATCCATAAAGGTGGTTATATGGGACTCACTGGTTAGAAAACTCAGTAATCTATACAGATAAATAAAATTGAAGTGCATGTTTGTAATGTCAAAATAACAGCTTTCTACTAAATGCACATGGAATTATATACGGTATTTATAAGAAAAACATTTTTTTTTTAATTGTCTGTCTGTCTAATAATACTTTCTTAGATTTACGCGAATGTTTGACATTATTAAATAAAACAATTTTTTCGGATTATTTCGCGGATTTATTTTGATTTTTGGTTCCCGACGTTTCGAGTGCTTTACAGCAATCATGGTCACGGGAGAGACTGAGGTGTTACATGTCTTGAAGGTATAGTTGTTACAGACAGCCTACCCACAATTAACAAAATGAAAATTGCACCAATTACATTACAATATTTTTTAACAACTTACTTTTACAAATTCATTTGTATTAATAGTGTTGCTTAGTAAGTTGTTTTTAAATAATAGCAAACTAAATTAAAATTATTATCCTTAATTAATTTTAACTTTTTAAATTACACATAGAACAATTATATGGCTTAAATAATTAATACTATATTTTATATTTTTCTTTATGGTTATAAATATAATAATGGCAACACTAAATATAGATTACTAAGTAATATTTTTAAAATTGTAATAATTATAAAAATAATAGCAAAAATTAAATGATGATAAAAAAATGTTAAAGTTAAACATTAAAACTATCTTTTCGAATTATTTCGCGGATTTGTGCGCGATGAAAGAATCCAAAAAGATAGTTCTATGTTAATATCTTGATAATATATTCTCACCTTAACTCCATTAAATTCTCCGCTTGTACTAACAACTTTACTGTCAATCTTCTCCATCTCCTGCCTTAGCGAATGTGTCATGGCCGACACACTCCTGTCGTAGCAGTTCGGCTGTTTCGTGCAACCATCCCATATATATTCTTTCAGAGGTTTCATTGACTCCTTACTGCATATGAAATAAGAATTAAAATTGGTTTAAAATTATTATTATTTGATCTTCATATTCTTAGGTGACTGTACTTCAATGGCTAAAACTGAACTTTATCTATGTTGTCTGTATATTATTTTGTATTAGTGTTATATAATATGTCGCAGGTAAATTGTAAAACCTGTGAAATTATCCTCCGAAACGGCTGGACTGATTTTGATGGGACTTTCACTGGCAGATAGCTGATGTTATAAGGAGTAACTAAGGCTACATTTATTGAAGCAAAAAAATTTGGGTTTTGTTCAAAAAAATAAAATGTACTCAGGGAAGTATCCAATCGAAGCAAGTGTAAGTCACTAATACTAAATAAGATACAAAAATTTCTAAGTAAGGTTCATACATATATCACTTAATATTATAGTAGTATTGCATTCAGCCCTTTTTAACGTCCCACTGCTGGGGTTAGGCCTCCCTACAATACAAGGGGGGTCAGGCCTTAGTCCACCACGATGGCCGAGTTTGGGGCGGTGCTAAGTTCTCTTGGACATTAAGGTTTCCTCACAATGTTTTCCTTCACCATAAGACAAGTGATAATCATGTTGGAAATGATTCGCACATGAAAATATCAGTAGTTCCAGACCCGGGATTTGAACCCGCTTCACTAAGTTTCCCAAGCGGGCGCGTTACCATCATGTAAATGCATGTTATTAATTCAAACAGTTCTTAAATAAAATAACAAGTAGTACAAAAAACTTACATCTTCTCTAGTGAATTCTCTTTAGTTTTATATCCTTCTTTGATATTATCCTTCAATTCCCGTATACTATTACTCAATTCGTTATCGAGCTTTATAGGCAACAACACATCAGCACTAGGCTCATATCCAGATATGGATAAAATAGCATTTAATATAACATTTGAAGATTGTAGATTCTTCTCCACTGCTTCTTGTTCCGAGGATATATCGTTCATTGATTTCTAAAAAAAGGTTCAATTATTTCATATAGGATGGACTCTTATTAGGAACAATGAAATCTATGCTAATATTATAAAGAGGCAGAGTTTGTTTGTTTGAACGCGCTAATCTCAGGAACAAAATTTTTTGCATTAGATAGCCTGTTTATTGAAGAAGGCTATATATAATCATGCTAAAATTCAAGGGAGCAGAGCAGTCATCAAATCAACAAATCTAGCAGACTTCTATACATTACTGTAAAACTATATACATATGTTATACAAAGCCATCTGACTTCTGCTAGTTAATATATAGAAAGCAATACCCACAATCCGGCTAGCAACAGTGTCGAACTCCTGCAGCTGGTACTCCCGCAGCTGAGCAGCGAAGTGCAGCAGCTCCTCTAGAAGCCGCAGTTCGCGGCGCAGCGCCGCGTACAGCGTGCGGTCAGCCGTCAGCGCACGGGACGTAATATTCGACAAATATGTTAAATCTTTGTAGATTTGTCTGGAAAAAGTCATAGTCCAATAAGTACTAGATACACAATCAGCGACAAAAAATGTCCTCGCCGAATGAGCGCTCACTTGGACTTGAGCGCGCTTGTTTTTTTGTAAAAACTTCAAGCATTGTTTTTAAGGTTCGATTTACATTGTTGTATATTTATTTCAACTACATTAATTATCTAAACATAACTGTTGATGGTTTTAAGAGAACTTTTGGATGATTTTTTTGATCAATGGGAAAAGTAGTTATATTTTGAAGTAAAACTTCTTTAGACATGACTCACAGGCAAGTCAATACACTGGAAAAATGAATGAATGTCGCGCAAGTGACAGTCAAATTTATTATTAATAATATATATATATATATATATATATATATATATATATATATATATATATATATATTATTGATGACATGAAACATGAAATAAAACTTCTTTAAAAGTGACAATTCAAAACATGATTTGATTTGAATACATACTCTCTTATGGCCAAAGCTGACTTTGCTGTCACTTCCACAGCCATGCTGGTGCGTCTCTCCACGTAATGTTTCACTGAATTTTGTAACTGTTGCTCTAAAATGCCTTCCTCTTGTTCCAATAGCTCTATTGCACTTTGTGCTTCCATTGAATAAACACTGAAAATAATTTACGCATAAAATATAGTGTACTAGCGACTCACCCTCGCTTCGCTCGGGTTCCTCCCTAGCTTGCTTTCCAATATAAACTTTCATCCTCATTTTCACCCTCTTAAGGGATGATTTCCGATATAAAAAGTATCCTATGTCCTTCCCAGGGTCTCAAAGTATCTTCGTAATAAATTTTATCTAAATCGATTCAGTAGATCCAAAGATTACCCCCTACAACGTCACAAACTTTACCTCTTTATAATAATATTAGTATGGAGCGACTTACTCTCTAGTAGAGATGTGCCGAATCCAGGTTTAACCAAATACGAATTCGGCCAAATATTACGTCCAAAATGTACCGAATCGAACATTCAGCCGAATTATTCGATTCATTTTCGCCTAGAAAAGTACGTTTATAAAAATTTAATTTTATAGATTTTTTCTTTCTTTTAATCTTTTGAATAATTGATTGTTATCCAAATGAGTATGGTCTCATTTACAAATAGTAATGTACAGTTTTCAAAATAAAGCTTTTAACACATATTATTCTTAAAATGGTATTAAATAAATATTCGCCAATTATTCAGCAAATTAACCGAATATTCGGCCTAACACGAACATATAAAAATACGCCGAACATACCGAATACGAACACTTAACTGAACATTCGGCCCATCTCTACCGTCTAGGTATGTTTTAAGTTTTAACAGTTAGTATATAATATAGAATACACATAAGTATAGAAAAGTACTTTAAAAAACTTAAAATCATCCCCCATTTTACCTTGATTGGTCAAAAACACCAAAAATACCAAAACTTGAGAAATTATTTATTCCCGATACAAAATGTCAATCTCTATTTCATCCCCTTCAAATTTTATTTTTGCATCAAAAAGCAGCCTATATACTTCTCCAAGGTCCCATCCATCTCTATACCAAGATTCATTAAAATTGATTCAGTAGTTTAGGGGTGAAAACTTAACAGACAGATGCTTGATGATCTTAATGTATATAATTCTTGTGTATGTGTGTTTGTCACCTTACTCCTCCTAAAGGGCTGGACCAATTTGGATGAAATTTTGTGTGTTATTTGAATGGGCTCCTGGATGAAAACACAATTGGACTTGGTAGGTGGCCTGCCGTCGATGTATCAAAAAGTTTGTTTTTTTATTAGTTTGAGCGCGGGCGAAGTCGCGGATTCTGCTATTTTTGTTATAAAAACCTTTAAGGAAGTTAGTCTATAAGTAAAAAAATATGCTAGCCATAATACAACTTAGATTATAGAAAACAAGCAAATGATTAAGCACCAATTTTTCCATACACTATTGATTTTGAATTATTATCAATAATTTATTTTCACATTTTAAAATCATCAAGTATTTCATATAAGTACTTACGTTATTTGACTGGGATGTACATTATTGTAGTTAGAAATGAGTAACAGCTTGGCTTGTTCTCCATACAGATCTGCTTTTGTTTCTATATAGCTACAAACTGCATCCGATAGCCTGTAATAATGTAATAAAAATTTGTGTCAATTTATTCTCTACAGTTAAATAGATGAGTCGATTTTGATGAAATTTTGTATATTTAATGTAGTATACTACTATACAGCAGTGGTAGCCCAGTGGTCCCCCCCAACGTGCGTTCACCTTGTCGTGGTGGGGGGGCTCAGTAGTGCCCGGCAATCCAACCGGGCGCGAAGCTAAGTAACGCACAAGGAGGTTGCCCACTTCGGTGGGCGGTGGGAGGTGGCCCTCTTCGGGGGGCGGTGTACCATGCGGGTTGCTCCTGGTACTTCTCTGATAGCAGAGTGGACCGTGGAGCAGCCCCATGGTTATTGTGGTCTGCTTCGGCAGACCTGCCGTCGGGGCGTCGTAGTTGAATGTGTAAGCGATCCTGCGACGCCCCATTAAGACGGGGGAAGGTTTTGTTGGGTTTTAGTGGGTAGTACTGGCTGTATTACGCCGGTGAGTCCCACACGTCGTGCGTAAATGCATTTCCCAACGTTAAAAAAAAAAAAGTGGTCGCCCAGTGGTAACGCGCTCGCTTGGGAAAGGGAGTAAAGCGGGTTCAAATCCCGAATCTCGCATCTCTAATATTTTCATGTGCCTATCATTTCTAACATCATTACCATATGCCTTACGGTGAAGGAAAACATCGTGTGAAAACCTGCATATCTGAGAAAACCTAGCAAGTTTTCAAATACAATGATACTACTAAAATCTTACTTAGAAATATATGTATCTTATTTAGTACTAGCTACTTACGTCCGTAGGTACGTTTTAATTTTATTGAGCGAAAACCTAATTCTTTTTCTACAATAGAAGCCTAAGTTACTCTTATAACATTAGCTATCTGCCAGTGAAAGTCCCGTCAAAATCAGTTTTTGAAAATCAAGTGTCAAAGATTAGCCAGAACAAACAGACAAAAATTTTAAAAGTTTTGTTATTCTTGTAAGTACATATATATATAATTTCAGATGCATTTAGTAAAAAGCTGTTATTTTGATATTACAAACAGACATTGATATACATTCAATTTTAATTAAACTACTAGAGACTCAATCTCGCTTCCCTTCTGGTTTGTCCCTAGACAAAAACAAATTTATCCCACGGGAAACATTTTTCTGGCATGATATATAACCTGAAGCCCTCCTCGCTAAAAGAACTATCCAAAACAAAAAGATTTTTTCAATTTCAACTAGTAGTTTCTGAGATTAGTGCATTCAACCAAACCAACAAACTCTTCAGCTTTATAATATTAGTATGGATATAGAAAAGTAGTGCTTTATATATCTAAATTTATTTACCATTCCTCCATGTTCTTAGCTTCTATGAGAGCAGTCCTTAAGTCCTCATCATTTGTATTGTCATTTTGCTTCTTGTTAAATTTCTTTGAAGTAAAAAGATCAAAATGTGATTTAAACAAAGCTTGTGACTGTCTGTAAGACTCAAATGGTCCGTAGGTGAAAAACCTCTTTGCAAGTTCCTGAAAAAAGTTTTTTTTTGTTATATTGCAGTCGCAGACATACATGTGTACATTTTTAATAAAAGCTGCGTGTGTGTATGTCCCTGACTGAATAATACTATGTTCCTTCAACTTGTTTTCGCCTTATTAGTTCCCTTGTACAGTCTGATTTTTTATATCTTTGTAAATAATTTTTCTATTTGTTTTTTAGCATTTCTCATTACAATTACATTTAAATATATAAGTTGCATATATTTTTGTTAGCCATTTATTGGTTTTGAATTAATAAAATGTTACCAAAAGTCAGCCATTTTAATTTTTATAATTTTGATATACCCAGTGTGACTCTTACAATTATAACTAATCTAATGACACATGTCAAACTAAAATCCATCAAGCCGTGTAGAATATAGAACATGCCAAAGAAATATACATATACTCAAAAATGTAACCCTCTTTCTGGTGCAGTCAGGTAATAAATAAAGGAACCATTGAAATCTAATAAGGAATGTAAAATGTTTACTTTTGAACACATAAAAATGTACTTCTAAAAACTTTTAAGTTTTTTTAATTTTACCTTATTGCCATTGCAACTAGCAAACAAATTCAAAGCATTAGCAATGACCTGTACTACATCATTTGTAATACACTCTATGTTCTCTGCCAATTGCATGCATTCTTCACCAGCTGTTACTTCATCTTCTGAACACTGCAACTGTGTCGCATTTAGCTTTGTTACTTCCAGTGTTAAATCTTCTTTTGTTTGCCTGTGATTAACATAAATAATGATTATAATGTTTATTTTTATACTAAAGTGCTTTAACTGCAATGTAATAATACCATTTCATAGAAGTACACACTGAAACTTGTCAGGTTTAAGTAATTTACACAACTTATACAATAACTTACTCATTATTTACCAGCAATTCATTTAGAATTTCTTCGTGTTTCTCCAACATAGCTATTCTCTCTTTTTGCATAATTATATCAAGTTTCATGTCTTCCATTGATTCCTCATCCCCTGGTAAACAAAGACCAATGAATTCATTTTGTATCGATGATATTTTTCTCTCTAACTTGTCTAATGGTAATAATTTTTCTTTCTTTTCCAATTCAGCATACCTACAAAAAAATAAACAAAGAAGAATGTCCGATAAGTTATAGTTTAATACGTAGATATGAAGCACGAACTCCTATATAGTATATATCTACATATAATATTATAGCTTAAAGTTGTTCCAATTCAAACAATACCTTTTTTCTACCCAATAACGCAACTGGATTCTTTCAAAATTATAAGAAGATCTTTAATTAAAGCGTATAATGCAAATGATCACCTGCATTCTTCCCATTCAGTCAAAGCATTATTGTGATCCAGGTTACTGTAAATCCATCGCAAAACTTCAGAAAAATCTGGATCGTTGAGCATCCATTCGAAAGACTTTTTATAAGTTTCTACTCCCAAGCTATGAAGAAACGGGATAAAATCTTCGTCCGTTATATCACTTAAATGACTCATTTTGAAATTTGAAGTTTATTGAAAAATAACTATAATATTAAAATATTGTTTTTATTCTAATTTTCCGTTACGACTTAAATCAAAACATTCAAAATTCAAATTTCAATACAAACTCCACAGGCTATAAATTGAAATAAGAAGTCATTTATCATGCTATGACTTTGACAGTAATCCAATAAAATGTGGCTATGCAATATTATACTCCGATATCAATAAAAAATATCAAAATAAATATTTACAAATATTAAATATATTTAATTTTTGTTCAAATTTAATTATATTAAATTTAGTTTTATTTTGAATATGGTATTTACAGATAATAAATAAAATGCTTTATCTCACTAAACTCACAATAGATGTCGCCCCATGTAAGAAGTAAAAACTTTTTTAAATTATAATAAAACGAAAAATATTTTGAAAGCAAAATATACTAAAAGCCAGTGTTTTAATAAATAATATGCAATACTATTAATTTCTCCTTATTATAACTTAAATTATTAGTTTGGTACTTATTTAAAATTATATCCTCTAGTAGATGCCCTCCAAGAATATAATCATGCAAATATTAAATTAGTATATTTTAAAAATATTCAATCTATACGAAAATTGTTATTTATAACACTACTGTGACGAGACATTCCAACTATATCCAAATAAACAAATTTAAATTGATAACACCAGAGTATTACGTCCATCGATCCGTTTGATAATGAGGGTAGTAAATCATTCCATTCGTGTGACATAAAGATGGAGGAAGATAGCGATTGGGCCATTAGCCAATTATGGCCCCTTCGTTTTGGGTACCTCGCACTTGAACTGGCTGAAGTTCAAGGCCATCTTGTGTTTTAGAGGTAGGTGCTGCCCCTACTATTTGCGCAGCAGATTCCCTTCCGGCACGAGAAAACTAAATTCGATCGCCATATTCACTATTTAATCTGTATCGAATTTTCATAGATCTATTTACAGATGATTAAAAAAAATAGTATACCTGTCATTCTAAATAATATATTCAACATGTCTTCTCCACTCTACGCGACATTGGTGAAGTAAACGATGCCCAAACCGCACTACTAGAAGCCATTGAACGTAAGAATTAATTTCAAAAAAATAGTACTGTTGTCTGTTACAGCTGTTTAAAAAGTAAATTGCTCTCATTAGTTCCGAAAACCACTAGTAAAAACTAATTACACTTCACCTATTAAATACCAATAAAAATGACAAAAATATTACCCAAAGTAACTCTCCTGTACTCTTTCATTTATATTTTAATTATCTATACATATAATAAAACTGTAGAGGTCGAATGTCTGTTCATAGAAAAAAAATGCTAAGAACTGAGTCAGGGGATGTAAGAAGAACAATAGAAGGAACAAATCCAGTTTTTTTTATTATTTTGTTTCTCTGTCTGTTTATCTGTTTGTACGGGCTAATCTCCGAAACTGTTGGACCGATTTAAATGAAATTTTTCATGGTGGTACCTTATATTCCCGGTTAACATTTTAGATACTTTTCATCCCAGAAAATTAAAGAGTTCCCGTGGAATAGTTAAAAAACTATAGTAACCTATACACCTTAGTAGACAACAACTTATGCACCTAATTTAGTAAAATTTGGCATGCCTATGAATACCTTATATTGCGGATCAAACAACAAGCTACTTTTTATCTCTAGCTCTAGTAAGATATCTACATATCTCGTGTGGTATCTACATGATTAAGACAAAGTTAAATACATTATGTATATGGGACGCGCCACGAAGCGGTTTTTAATAATAAATGATGATGGTGAAAAAGATTTTATGTTAATGTAACTGTATAACAATTGAAATTTGTTAAAATTTTAATTCAAATTCCGTATCTAGAGAAATCTTTGTATTGCATAACGGATATTTTTACCCTAAAAAGGAGTATCTTTTCAGGGTAAAAATATCAGGTATCTAACTGCTTCAACGGAATAGGGGTAAACATAGGGTTTGTAAAAAATATAGCCTTCTATAACTTCTCTTCCTTTCTTCTTAAAATCGAATTGGCTTAGGCTATCATAAAAAATAAGATATTTGTTTTATTAATTTAATTCACAAACTTTATTCGTTTTACTTTCACTACGTATACTTAAAGTTTCTATTTAAATAATTATTTTCTACAACCTACAATATAAAAGTGGTTAGGTCAATAAGTCAAGTTATCAAGTATAATAATATTTGACCTCTCATTTAAAAATAAACTTTTGCGCCACTCCTCATTCCTATTACTTGAGTATAGAAATTCAAAGAACACTTAGTTGAGTCTGCAGATTTTTTGCAATCACTTTGAATATGATTACACGGAATAGCAAGTTATTAGAAATGGCATAGTCAATGTTAAGATTCATCATTGTTGGATAGATTTAGTGTAGGTATGGGAATGTTTTTGAAATTTATATGGGGCTATCCCTGACGTGGTATTTAGAATACACAATTCACAAAAAAAACAGTCTAATAGTGCACTTCCTTATTTTTAAAAACATTTTGCTTTTTATTTAATGTTGCCATTTTATAGGTAATTTTATATCATAAAATATGAATGCATATCTGTCTATATATCTCTTTGACCGTACGTAATATACTCCTATACGTTTAACGTTCCTATATTATGTACTTTCTATAATTTTTATTATGAAATTTTAATAAGCTATCTAATAAAAAATAAAAAAAATCCATTAAAAACTACGAATAACTTCTAATACTTCGGGCAGCGCATTCTTCATACTAATAATAATTATCATAAATATGGCAAGCATATACATATTTTAGTGCATAATTCCATCTACATATCCACTCAATATAACAGTGAATAGATGATGCCACTCACGGTTTTACAGAGGAGTATTGTAGGCGTTAGGCTGTTAAGTTTGCCTCTGTCAACTGCTGACCGAGCTTTCTATAAGCGACTCCATTGCTAGTTATGTTACGTCAAAATAACCGTTCAAATATTTGTACTTATGCAAAATATTTAATATTATTTATACATACCCATGATTTAAAAAAATTCTTAATTTTTTAAGTGTTCCGTACAACCGATTTAAAGACGAGATGCTTATAGGATTATGGATGTCTTTCTCTCTATCCTATGTAAGCTATGAAGCTTAATATTCACGATTTTTTTTTCATGTGTAAGATACACATTAAAAAAATTGTTATTGATAGATGTTAATGATTATTGATAGAAGATATTAAATTCGAAAAAAAATCTGGCTTACTAAATTTTTTTTTTTTTAATTTAACTAATAAAGCTAAAAAAGATAAAGCTAAACAGAAAGCTTAGTTTTAATCAATTGTTTAACATCGTTTACCAAAAGGGGTATAAGATGCAGATTTTTTTATTTCCTTCAGCCATTTTTTCGCTTTAATCAGCTAATTATTGGAGAGGTGACAATGGAGATAGACTCAGAAGCAATGCAGTTATATAGGAAGTAGGCGACGCAAGCATCCTCCAGTCAACAGTCGCTAGAAAAACAATAGAGTGTCCCTTCTAGTTTCACTTTAACAAACTAGAAATTACACTTTAAACTAAAAGTATAGTCTATATTAATAGGTATTAAGAGCGATATTTGCTTCTTTCGTATTTTGTCAAACTAATTTGATCTTGGTTTTAAAATTCCAGCCTGTATACGTACATATATTGGTAGTGACGAAAATAACTAAGGCATATGTTTTTCTTACAGTATGTAAACGTAAATTCAAAATTAGCATTTTTTTTAAGTGAAAGTCGAAATTCAAAACTATAGACATTAGCAATATAGACTGTATGTATTATATAGTCATAAATATATATTTTTTTTATTAAGAGTAACAAATAACAATGACTCAATTTGTTAGTATTACCACAGATCATATTATAATACTGTGGTATTACAGAGTTATTTTCTATGTCAGTAAATTAAAATAAAAACGACTATTAGTACTACGTAATTCATTGCTGCGCTTTTCAACTAGACATAAAACCAGTAAAAAGTAAATGTTTACAAGTAATTGTTTACAAGTTAGTTGGGAAAATCATATGTGAATATTTATTTTTACTTATATATATATATATATATATATATATATATATATATATATTTAACCATACCAACCACCAAACCTGCATATCTGAGATAACCTGTCAAGTTTTGGAAAGACATGTTAAGTGCGCCCACCCGCACTTAGCAGCGTGGTGGACTATGGCCTGATCCCTCTCGTATTGAAGGGAGGCTCGTGTCCAGCGTTAAAAAAATGGCTGAATACACATACACATTTCTTTTTATTAGACTATAATAATATCCACCTTTGCTAACTAATTTTATTGTACGAGTAGGTATTTTAATTTCTGTATTTTAGATATGTACGAGTAAGTGCAAATAGTAGGTTTATTATACAAAAATGTAAAGGTATGTATGTGTGTATGATTGTTACGGCTTCACGCTGAAATAGCTGGACAGATTTGGATGCGACTTAGTACCTACGCAGATAAACTGAAAGAACATAATATTGTTAGGTAGATACTAGGGGCGCAACTCTGGGAGAGAACAGCAGTGAGTCATTTGTTGTATAATAAATATATAAAAAAACTTAAAGACATATTTTTTAATATAAAAAAACTCATTTTAATGAGCATTAGGCACAACAAACAAACTTATCCAGGACATTGAACCCGCACTAGATTAACGGACTAAATACGAATGATAATTCTCATTCTCAAATCATTTTTAAAGACGTCTATTGTTATGTCAATCAGATTTATTGGCCGACTTTAAAAATAGGGGGTACCTATTCAACTTGTTGGTATCTCTGATAATCGGGAACAGATTGTCGTGATTTTTTTTATGAATAGATGATATCTTATGTCGTTCTCGTATGTTAGTCCAGTCATTTAAGCTTAAATTAGGTAAGAATCTCGGAATTCGAGATACCCAGCTGTAAGTCTGTAAATACTTATATATTGACACCCTAAAAGTTGTCTCAAAACCTACATAAGGTAGGG